AGAGAGGCAGGGTCTATGAGAGGCAGGGTGTAAGAGAGGCAGGGTCTATGAGAGGCAGGGTGTAAGAGAGGCAGGGTCTATGAGACGCAGGGTCTATGAGAGGCAGGGTGTATGAGAGGCAGGGTGTATGAGAATCAGGGTTTAAGAGATTGGGACATACATATGTATGCCTCAATTGAAGATCACAAACTTTTATGTAATAAAAAGGTGACGGGGACATACATGAGCTTTATGTGACAGGAAGTAACGTGACGAGTACATGTGTACTGCAGGTAAGCTCTACATGACGGGTATGCTAGTGACCTTTACATAAGAGCGTGTGTGAGCTTTACGTGATGAGGACTGAAACGTGCTGTAAGTGAGGGAGGGGAGGGCTTGGTTCTGGACATGAGCTCTTGGCGGGTTGATGAGGGAGGCACCGTGTCTGCTGACACTCCAACTCRTTTCATCCAGAAGTTGTTTTCGTCTGATTCCTTCAGTTTTCCTGGCAGGAAGCTCAGATACTGAAGGAGACTTTCAGAATCCTGTTCTGGTTCTTCAGTGGTTCTGAGTGCAGAGCTAATCTAATCCACAGCTAAAGTTTAGATGTGTGTTCAGTGCAACATGTTCTCTCAGTGGTCCGACCTACAGTTCTGTGCTTACATGCAAAGTAGAACAAGCTGCAGATCTGATTCTAAYATTACAGCGTATCATAGGAATGTCWTACATAAATACTACTTCTCCTCAGCTCCTCCTGCTATAGAAGTGCTCCAAAACAAAAAGCAAGCAGCCGTGTGCGAGACTCTGCATAGTTGTAGTTGAATATGTGGCGAGTGGAGATGTTCTGTGGAGCGGGGGGAGCGTGACTGTGAGCACACCGAGAGGAGCGGGACAAAGTCAGACCTTGTTCTCCAGTCCTGCTCTGCTTTCTGAAAGGGCAATGAGAGCGATCCACATCAGTCTTCCACCTGGAGACAGCACACCTGCTTACAGACGACTGAAACAGACATTTAAAAACAAACTCTAATTTATTAATTATTGTATCGATAAATTATATCACTCATTTTTAAGTATTAATACTTTTAATGTGGATTTTCTTTCTCGTTTTACCTTTTCCAAATGTCTTCTCTATAAAAGAAGTGTTTTCAAAGTCACCTGTCTGTCAGGATGCAGAGATCCTCTAACAAAGAGATGTGTCACTACGTCACAAACAGCTTGTTCATTTAAAAGGACTTCGTTCACTAACTGATCCAGGTCAGGTCCAGTTGTTCCAACACAGTTAGCGCTAACGGCTAACAGTTTCAGCTGATATACTGTGCACTCATCTCATTTATCTGCAGGTGAAACAGGAATGTATACTTTAAAAAGTAAGACAGAAATTGGATACAAATTATAAAACAATGATAAAAAAAGATTTCCTTACATGTGTGTATGTATGTATATTTGTGTGTGTGT